AAAATTTCAATAATCTGTCCAAAATATTGTCAAGCAAACAAACTGAACTGCAGACCTGGCGGACAATTAGCCCGTGTAATCCGTAGCTTTGTTTCGCGTTCCTCTGATTTTCTACGTATATGTTTTCCATCACAGATTTATTTTAGTTTTTTGTTTGTTTTCACTTCAAAGCAAAAAGCTCAAAGTCCGTTGATACAGCTGGTGTTCAGATTATACGGGTCCGAGTAAGAATTAGTTGTATTTTTGGGGGATTTTCTCAAGTTATATTGTACAAAAATAGTTTTCGGAAAATGCATTAATCTTTCAAATATATAACACACAATTAAATAATTTAAAGAAAACAATTCTTGGATTTTATTTGAGTAAAGTGCATGTAAATTGTGTCAATTTGCTACCCCGCATTTTTTAAACTTTGTAAAAAGATATTATCAGATAGTATGTACTTCACTGACGCAACAAAATGCTTATTTTGAGGCAAATATTACTGAAGGATGAAAGTAAATTAAACAAGAGAGATGAGTGAAAAAAATTACAGCTTTATTACTGACCAAGATCAGCCAGTTATTTATTCAGGAACCTTTATTGAAACCCCAATGATCACAGACAGGTGGGTACAGTTTTGAAATATTAAAAAGATTTTGTCTTTTCTCAGGATCGAACCAGCGAGCTTCTGATTAATAGGCGAGCATTATTCACTAAGGCCCCCAGCTGATAATTCGTGTTATTTTCATGTTACTAAATAATATGCTAAAAGGTATCTCAGAGGTAGTGGTCTTGAGCCAAGCCAGAAAATACATAATTGGTTCTTCGCCCGAACTGTCTTATCACTAATTTGCCCATATGACTTATTCTGTACAATCACCTTACTATTTACTATTCTCACCACTGATCGAGTCAATAGGTATATTTTGACAGAAATTTTACTAAAAAGTACAAATTAATTAATTGGAAGTGTTTGTTTAAAGTGAATGATTAAAGCGTATGTTAAAAATATATAATTCGCTATAGCCAATAAAATTGGCCATTATAGCTAAGAAACATCACAGAGTCAACGTTGTCCAAGTCTCTTCCTACGAAATCTGCACTTAATTAAGAGGTTCAAAGAGTCTTACTTGTTGACGAGACTGAATTAAATCGGTCAAAGCTTCATAATATTCTCTTTGTCGGTCCCATTTCTGAACTGGCCAAATAGTCAGAGAAATATAGGATTTGACCTTAAAAATTTTAAATAAAACGTTTTATGGTTTTATTTTTGTAATGTTGGGTGTGCAGAGTGACATACTAAAAGTTGAAACAAATCGGTCTACGGAAAACTCCCTAAAATCACGATTATAAATGGCGGATTTTCCCAACATTGGAAAAAATGTTTATACCACATACAATTTATTTTTTTTATGCAAATCTTTCGAGAAATTGACTTGGGACCACCACCGATATTTATTGGGTGGTATTTTAAAAGGGAACGCGTTTTTAGCCGCCATCTTGGATACGCCTTATTGGATATAATACAAAATTTTAAATGTAATGATAATATTGTGACACATCATTATAAACTATATTTTCACGCTCATTTAAATGCCGAAATCCGTTTTTAAATACCTTTTAAAGATATATTCAAACGAAAGCTCCCCCCTTTACATTTCTTATGGACGTTTCGTACTTTGAAAGATTTTTAAGATTATTTTTCTTATATTCGTGGTTTTTGGGGGTTTTTCATGGACCGATTTTTGGCAACTCTGCACACCCAACACTACAAAATAAAACCATAAAACATTGTCTTGCAATCTTTTTAACGATCCCTGTGTTTATTTTCATAGTTTGCTTGGACTAAAATAAAATAAACTATTTTTACCGTTTCTATGTGAAAATTTCGTTTGATATCCTGGCAAAATTTTCGGTTGTTTAAATGTATTTTCAATCTATATATAAGATACTTAATTATTTTAAACAAAGAGTATAAGTGTTACTGCTTACATTACAAGGGAAAGCGTTTTTTTTTTTTTTTATAATAAATCATTAGTTCTGTTTGCACAGATAACCTTTCGGATAAAGGGATTTGTAATACAAAGAAATAATAGTGAAAATAGTGTGCTGACCAGTCAAATCGTTATGTATACTGACTTCCTCAGTCCACACCAGCTTACGCAGGACAAGTCTATTAAGGACTGAGCCTATTGACAGTCTGTGTCGCAGTCCTTAGGTTTGATCCTGGGCTGATCCTTCGGTCGGTCTGAGGACTTCATTAGAGGACTTTGAACAGATCAGAGGTCATTAAAGATGGAGTGTCCTGTGACATGTGGCCTGGTGCATCTAAATACCTCTCCTTGTGGACAAAATACCTTAAGTTGGGTTTTTGAAGGTAATATTAGAAAACCCATTGAAACTATTTGATTAAGAACTTCGATTAACTTTATCATATTTTTAGGATTCGACCAATTGGTTTGTATTGCGACTTGATTATTGTTTGGTAAAATTATTTTGATACAAAAGTATCGACAACAATCTTTATGGGGTTTATTATATTTGAAACTCCAAGACTTATCGTATTATGTTTTACCTCTTAGGTTTGTAAAAAAAACTGTCAATGCTTTCGGAATATAATAAATACTTCCTGTATTTTTATTTTAAAGATTAAAAAAATAGAATACTTTTGGGAAATAATTTCAAATATGTATGGTTATACATAATATATCAGCTTTATCGTTTCCAACCATCGGATCCAAAAATGAAAGATTGATATTTGGGTCACATTTAGGTTTGTGCCTAAAGATTATTCTAATAAAATTGAATACAAATATTGGAAGATTACAGAAACGATTCAAGACAAATTTTGGAGATTCCAGGATTGTTTTTTTACAAATGTAATATATTCATATAATATCACAACCTCATCAACGATAGTCTAACTGGACAACATCAATTTATAAAGAAGTTGTTTAACCTTTACAATTATTTGTAATCGTTATCTAAACAATTTAAAAAAAATTACAAAATATTACGACGATTAAATCTTTAAATTGTACCTAGCTGAATAAAAATACTTAATATTTGCACAAACAAAAACAGTATGTAAGCTTTACATAATATGTAAGCTTTAAATCGCATTAAAATTGATATAAAATCGATTAAAACGAAATTTTCCAATCAGGTAAATCACAAAATCCTTTTACATCGGATTCAAATGTTAAAACACTTTAGTGGGATCTGTTTCGCATCAGAAGTCACCGCAAATCAGAGCAAGGCGGCTGAGTTCGAACGACCGCAAGAGTGACAGAGTCTTATCACTCTGATCACTTATCACTGAAGGGACGCCTGATCGATTCTTTGAGTCGCTCACAGGAGGGATGAGTTGATCCTATCAAAGAACTGCCTAATGAACTGATTCACCGCTTTGTTCACTACACATCCTGCTTCTGTGAGTTAATTGGCCCCTATTAAATGAGTATAAGGCCAATCCATTGGTTTAACTTGTTTTCTTAGAACATTTAAAACAAATAATACGTAATATTTGTTCGGATGTGTCTTATAGATTTTTGTGGACGGATTTCTCCAAACCAAGGAAAGGTTTCGCCTTTTAGCCAATTGATTTCGGTACCTCGATGTTTTCCAATACGTTATAATAATAATTTTTATAAATAAAAAATTTAAGTTTATAAATTTAGTTTTAATTTTTTTTTCAGAAATTATAATGTTCACTAGCAGAGCACCCGTCCTTCGCACGGGATTGGCGTATTATTATTGCAGTTGTACTCGTGCTTTGTGTTTGCAATAGGAGAGGACACGGTTTGAGAAAATTTGGTTCTTTTAATTTACGGCATGTTATAGTACATCTACCATAGCCATAATGTTCAACCACTGCAACTAAACAATAAAAAGGGAGATCCTCATTTTTAAAAGTTTTGTTTTGCTAGTTGGTCCAATTAGATGCTGTCATAAATGCAAAATAAATTAATCGTGCTGCACCCTGTTGGTAAACTTTATAACTTTTTAATGCTATTTAATATCATAGAACCAACTTGTGAAAGAGCTGACAAAAATATTTTATTCCTTTTAAATATAAGAATACTTATAAGGTTAACACGGAAAACTCCAGAGCCACTGGGGCGGAGCCCGATAGGATTTTTGGGATATGAATAGGGAATGTTCGAGCTATCATCACAGCAAATTTCAGCCCAGTATTTCCCGTTTACTTGTTACAAACATCCATCCATACATCTAAACTTTTCACTTATAATATTAGTAGGATTATTATTGCAATAATTTGTATAGTTTATGTTGCTATAAACAAACACCTATTTAAAGATAATACTTGCAAGCCACTTGGTTTATTTTCAATAAAGTGGTTAAAACGTTCAGAATTTCATAAGGATCTTAAAAAATGAAACAACAATTAAGATTTTAAGTTTTAAGGGACGATACATTTTGTTACGCAAGAACGTGAAAATAAATTATTTGGGCTACGGTAAAAAGAACAGGTTTGATTTCCTAAATGTTCCTAAAGTTTTCCCTTGTAGCAATTTTAATCAAAAAAAGTTCCTCTCAAGTTCACATCTGGACCACAACTAATTCACCTTATGCCATTGAATTCTCATTTGTTCCTAGACAAAGTGTTACATTTATCTTCTCGACCTTGTTATTTATTTCTTTCAAAAGCAATATCTGTAAGAAACCTAATGATAGGACCGTGTGCGCGCGTGCGTGTGCGATATCACGACATCGCCGACCAATGAGAAGACGTGAGACCGACTCAATGAAGCAGAGAGGAAAAGAGCGGAGTGTAAGGGGGGCGGGGGAGATCGCCCATGAAATTATGACAGGAGGCGGCGGCGGTCGGGGGCAGGGGGGCGGGGGGGCGACCACGATGGTTAACAGAGACCAGTCCGTATCCCGCTAGCGTCGAGAGAGGCTGTGATCGTGCGTGTGTGAGTCACATGTCGTACACGCGGCAACAAGTGTCAACCGAACACGTGGCTGAGTCGTAGCTTCATTCTGATACTTTGGTACTTTTAGAACTCTTTTGTAGTTTTGAAGCGTCTAGGACACTCGCGATGTCAACAGTGTCGCGGAAGTGCTAGGGGTGGAAGGACAAGGTTCGGATGCCCGAGGGTGGGCGAGTGGATCAATGCATCTGCCGGGGATCATGACTTCCGACCCATCTGGAGGCCACGGGTACCAAGGGGGCAAGAAACGGGTGGGTCGCCGAGGAGATGCCCAGGGGGAGGCGTGCGCGGGAGACGAACTGTGGTGGACTGAGAGAGTGTTGTGCGAGATACAAGCGGAGCACCCCGGAGAGCTGGTGAGGACGGGGAGTCCGTACTTCATGTGCTCGGCTCTACCCTCCCACTGGCGATCCAACAAGACGCTGCCCGTGGCCTTCAAGGTGGTGGCTCTAGGAGACGTGGTGGACGGCACGCTGGTGACGGTCCGCGCCGGGAACGACGAGAACTACTGCGCCGAACTGAGGAACTGCACCGCCGTCATGAAGGGACAAGTCGCCAAGTTCAACGATCTCAGATTTGTGGGGAGAAGTGGAAGAGGTAAGAATTTATACCTAAAAGTTCTCAAACAAATAATTGCAAAAAATGGACTTTTAATCGCTCTTGGTCAACTTTGAAGTAATAAAACATTCATTGTCATTTGATCCGTGAAGAGTTCGATTTTGTAGGACACATTTAAATACTAACAATGAACTTTCCTTGGAGCTAATAGTATACAATAGTATAGTATGAGACTCACAAGTTAAATTGCAAGAAAAATCACATTTATAAACTATTTTTAAGCTTTAACAAAGTACTTTTCTACCATAGCGGGGAAATATCCCTGAGATGATTTGTAATACAGTGTTATCATAACTCCGGAGTATTAGCCCGTTGTTTTATCATAGTCCAGGCGAAGAAGACAAAACATTACCAAATAGAGGAAAATATTCATGTATAAGCCAAATTTGGTACAGGAGTAGGGGAAGGGTCCCTAAACAACATACGAAAAGTACCCACCGGTGGCCCCCACCACCCCGGAGCTAAGGGGGCTAGGGGGCTCTAAAGGTCAATTTTTAGGTTTATCTAAATAACTCGAAAACCATAAACTTTTTGTATACAATACTAAACTATTAAATCAAAGAAGATTACATTTTCTACAAGAAAAGTACATGATGTAACTATTTCGGTTCAACAATTTACAAGATACAATAAAATAATAAATATCTTTTTCAAATACTCCTCTTATAAGAAATACATGTAAATTTGTATGAATAATAAATTCTAAACGTGGCATAGCCTATCCAGCCAAGGATATAACCGTTATTCTTTAACTTGACAACATTTCCTGCAATTTGACACTTTAGTCATAAAACTTTGTCCAAAATTAAGACTTTAGTGAGCTTACAAAAACCGTATTATTTGTAATATTTTCTTGAATTACAACTTTTTTGGGCACTCGCCCTTTTTCCGATTCAAAACTTGTAATAAATAAGTAGCCTAATACCAATTAGCTACGCCTACAAATTCTTAAACTTGTACGAACTTCTTGATAGTAGGCATTTTTGTTAAATGTACAATTAACTCGCGATTGTTACGGTTTAGCTAATTAACCGTAATTACCTAACTGACTTCAGTTGGTTATGTATACTTTATAGACTAATAGACTTTTTAATTGGGTTAGTTGAAAGCCTACATCTTACTTGAGTAATCTGTTCCATAAAGTTAAATTCTATTTTTGGCGGCATTAGTTTTTTAAGACAATCTTTAAAACGGTTAGAGCGTCAATCGAACGACAGCGGCAGATATAGACACTGTTTATCGTAGGGATGAGCTAACATTGTGTGAACAAAAAAGGAGAAAGAACGCAAAAACAGAAGGCTCATAATAATCCATAGAGTGCACTGGTAAAAGTCTAATTCTATTTATAAAGATTATGTTTGGTTTTAAAATGCAAATTATTTGCATACAGAAACAACAAACACCTTGTTTTTAAGTATCAAAAGGAGGTGAAAACAATTCAACTGCAACAACGAGGGAACTTTGCGGGGCCCAGATTTTTTGGGTAAAGTAATTATTGTCAAGGAGCATATTGATAATTCTGTACTTTGCGTATCAATTCCCCAATCCATTAACCCTATTTCAAAAACAAATTCTCGTTATTATTTTATAGCAGTAACACAAATAACAGAAGAATTGTATTCATGTATAATATCATTATTACTGGTACTTCCTAAAAAAAATATATTTGAATATACTTATCAATCTTTAAAAACATAAAAATGTGTTGTCTGGCTACAGAATTATAACTAGAACACAAAAATTACAGGCATTCTTTTCTACTATATTACCAGTTTAAGACTAGATTTAAAGCTTATTGACCACACTTTAACATAAGTTCCGGTTTAAAATTAAACTTTATTTACAAAACCCTGTTCTAAAACTGAAACTCCCATATCTAACTTATGTACAATAGATATCTTGCTCTTAATGCAGCGTTGATTATAATGTTATTTATCAATCCATTAACTAAAATTTATTTGCTGTACATTTATAATTAGTGTTACTTAAAAGAAATATATATAAAATGTAAATTCATTTTTGAAAATATTGATTGCTATTGTATTAATCTATTACGAGAGTTTGTCCCGTGGTCGAAAACTCGACCAAAAATATCTAGTGGTCAGTCTTCAATATTTTCACCCCACGCTGTAAATAAACATGTGATTGGAATTTCTTCCATTTATTTAGATTTTCTGTTTATATTTCATTGTTATTTCGTCACCGACATGACAACCCATAAGGCCCATGTTATTTTTTTAAATTTTAAATTCATTTTTTGCACAGTTTTTATTAGCATATTTTAATTTATAAAGGGATTCTTTACACCTACAGGAAAATATGTTTCCAACAGTATGCGTAGATTTTCCCTAGGATGCACAGGAGCTGAGAAAAAAGGTTAAAGAAACATGCTTGCCTATTAATATATATATATTATTGTAAGATGTTATTTTTGTTTTCTCAAAATGCAAAAATTTAAATAGTGCAAGTGTTAATGTCACTTTTCTTTAGCATTAAAAACATTTTTACTTTATTTACGCGGTTTCGCTTAGCTTTAAATTTAGTTCTTGTTTAAGTTTCATAGTTAATGAATAACTATTATTTCAGTATTTACAATAGGCTTAATACTACGGTATACTGATCTTTCTACATAAAAAAACTAACATAATCATAAACAATTCTCTCCAAAAGAAAATAAGCATTTAATAAAAAATTACTACTTTTTAATGCAATAAGAATTCTGAATACATCAAAACTTACTAATTCCGTAAAAAGGATTTACAAAACTATGCCAATAATTAGTACTATTTGAATAAGCATTTTTGTATTGCAAAAAATCCCTAAAAATTCCCTTATTGCCTTTTAACTTTAAAATACACTACTGAACAAAAGGGGTTTTGAAGAATTTCAAGGCAAAATTGCAAGACAACATTTTAGAGTTTGATTTGCGTGTGTGTTCGGTCTAGATATCAAAATATAATCTACGGCCTTCAAATGAAAACAACTGAGTAGTTTGCATATAGTATTGAATAACAATGTATTTATGAGGGCAATAAAACTGTATAAAACTAAAACAATATAATGTTGACGAATATTCCATCTTACCAGAAATCATTGAGAATTCCGTCATATTCCCTTGCAACTACTGCAACAAAGTTAAAGCCACCTTTGAATTACTGTTTAGAGTCGTGTTACCTATAAAAACACCAGATTACACTTATCCACATTAAAAAAAATCTTATTTTTATATTTTTATAGATATTTAAACCCTATTGCTTCGTGCATTCCATCCCTACCATTCATATTTACCTTATACTGAAATTCGTTAATCTTAGTTATATTTCGATTAAAATAATACTACTTACTTAGTGCACGATTTAAATTTTAATCCCAAATGAATTAATTATCTATATGCATTTTTATAGGTCTATACAAACTTCTCATTTAAAAATGTGATCAACATACCTTGCATTAATAAATGTATATTTACCCTCCGAAGTGTGCAATTCCAACCTAAGCGGAGTTAATCTAGTGTATTTTTATAAGATGTAATATTCGGCTAGCTGATGATTACATCATAGTTAACGAATAACATGGATAGAATGAATGAATTAATTAATAATATCAGTACATAGAAACCACAATATTGAAACAACCGATTGACTAAACAGATTCCAAAACAGGTTAAGCTCAGATTTATTAATTTACTTTTATGGTGGTGGCAACACTAGTTTTTACTGATTTATTTTTTTTTACAAGAATTAACATGTGTTAACACACACCGTGCGGCGCGGCGGCGGCGGTGGACGTATCGTTGTGATAGTGTGAGTGATAAGAATATTTCTCTAGGGAACTTTTTATTGTCCTTGGGTTATGATAAAGCCTCAAGGTCACTGAGCTACCTCGAAACTTTTCTTCTAATAATTACGTAGACTATTTTGACAAGTTTGTAAGTTCAATTTTATGACAATAATACTCTAATTTTAAGGCAACCTGTCAGTTTTAGAAAGAAAACAAATTAATAAAACTATTACTATTGCAATAGGGATTATTTTGCTCCTCTCCCTGTTTTCCTGTATTTATTTCTAAATAGGTATTAATGTTTTTATTTAATTTTAATGTGAAAAACAAATTTTCTACGAGAAAAATCTGGGAAAAGTTAAAAAAATGTTAATTAAAGAACTGACATGAGAAAACACTACTCCAATGACTAGGTAAAAAAAAAAAAAAAAAAAAAAAAAAAAACACGTGCTAGTATAGTAAGAAGTGTTAAAAAATATAATAAAGGTCTAACATTCAAAAACTGTTAATGATTAATTAACCACAATGTTTATTTCAGGTGAAAATAGTTAATTATTTACAAATCCGGTTATTTAGGCTGGGTTTGGTTAGGTTAAGTTAGACTAGAACTGACATAGCTTTAAATTAGTCTGTGTATTGTTACAAGTAGATTTTATTGTAAAAGTTATTAGTATTAATGATGATGTATTTTTTGTGTGGAGGTAAATTATTAAGGAGAAATAAATAACGTATATAAACATAAATACAAATATGTAATTTTAATATTCGATTACCATGGTATCAATAAAAGCCGGATACTTCTTCCAAATTGTAACAAATCGAGAAAAACATAAAATTATATGAGTTTTGCGCGTAAAAAGATTTTAAAATAGTCTGAAGGTACTTTCGAATACTTACGAATAGGTACTTTCTGTAGCAAATCTCTAACGAGGACTACATAATTAATTAAATATATAGAACATACAATAAATATAATAAATAATAATAATAATAATAAATTTATTAAGCTCTTTAAATTATTAGTAAAGTTAATAAATTCATCCCCAATACGAGAGAAAATTTTTCACAAATAATATGTTGTTATTTGTAAGTCCAGGCCAACCAAAAGATTTTGACACTAGAGTGCCCATATTTTATTGCTTCTTTTTCAGGATATAGTACATATGAACTCGTAAAACATACAAGCACAACATAAACTA